TCAAATGGGAGCTTCTGGACTTGCAGCCATTGCTTATGGCAGCGTTGGTTACATCCTCCCAATGCTAAGTCAGTCGTAAGGAGGGCTGGAGCTTTTCTAAGTCGGCCTGCTTCAATCTTGCTTTGGAAACAGAGCAGCACGGAGCTACGTCATCACATCCACATGACTGATGATGTAAGACAGCCTCATTGAACCAACCCTACTGTAAAGCACAAAGCCGCTTTCTCCCATTCAAAGATGCCATATGGTGATATGTGGAGATGTCCCAGAATTTAAAGAAATTTACAACTAATCTCTTATCAAGTCTGGCTTCATTCTCTCGGGCTGTAATTCATCTTTGAAAATGAATCCACATAGCTGTTATCAGCTGGAAGAGGATCAATTACAGGACAGGGAACAGAAAGAGGGTTAATCCCTCCTCAATCTCAGTTCAGTCATTAATGCTGCAAGCAGCCCTGCCCTACAACAAGCATTTTAAAGTTGAGGATTTTATTTCATTTACATTCAGCTATGTACTTACAACTAGATGAATCCCTAGAAATGCCTACTGCTTAAGTAAACTATTTAATTTTTTCTAATAATATTGTAAAATCTCTTTTGCTAGAGAGTGACAGATTTGTTAGGGTACTAAGATAGAATTTAACCAAACTTTTACATTAGATTTCGCCCCGCATATAAATATCATTGCAAAATTTCTCCTCCTTAGGATTTAAAGAACAGTGAAACAGAAACATTACTGTAAATACAAACATTAACTTGCACTGAAACATATTGATAAATCATTGGTTACCAATTGTCAAATGTATGTTAAACAATAAAAGTGTGACTGTTTTATTGTAAATTTAATATCCTGGAATGTAAAAATCATTAGCTCATTTAATTCAAAATTTCCACTGAGACACATCTCTCCTCAAAATAGTTGTTTACAGTTCTTGATCAGTTGTAGCTATTAATATGACTCACAGCACATAACGCCTCTCAAATGAAGATGACAAAAAGCCTTGAAACAAACAAAAGAAAATTCATGAAATTTGTGCCTGACTGATTCCTAGAATTTACAACTAAAGTCAATTGAAGATGGATAACTCTTTTTTTTCACCTTTTACAATCTCAGCATGAAATATGCTTTCTCAAAAGAACACAGGCTGGTTAAATAAATGTGCGAAACAAATATGAAATCAGCAATAGCAAAAATATGCAATAAAAACTTCTCTTTAGTATTGATACCATCCGAAATTAGTACTGCATTCGGATACAGCATTTCAGTAGTACTTTAAGGAGTATAAATACTTTTGACAACCCTATTTCTAGACTGATTGATTGATTGATTGATTGATTGATTGATTGATTGATTGATTGATTGATTGATTGGTTGATTGGTTGATTGATTGATTTTTTAACCTGGGCTGCATTTTATCCTCAAACTTTAAAATGCTTACACTGGTCCCAATCCAAACTGGACTTCTTTACACTAATTGTATATTCATTCAAACATAATCTGAGAAGAAAACATTACTACACTCTAAAGAGAAAACGACTTTAATGAAGCGCTTCAATTGGTAACAAATAATTGAATTAAGTTGGATCAATTTGATTGTTAACAACTGAAGCCATTCATTTATGCAGAATCACTTCAGCAAGAACCATCAAAATTATATAATATAGATGGATAAGACCTTGAATAAATGATTTCAATTTTAGATCCAGTGTTTTGATTTGTGAAACCTATGGTTAAATATATTTACTCATTTACATGCTCAGGTTAAGCCGACAATTGTTCACAGTAACAATTATCCAAACCATATTTAAGATAGTAGTATTATCTTTAAAGAAGATAAAAATCCTTCTGACTGAATGCAATGATGACATTTTGGAGCAGCGCAGCCATTGTCCACACTTGAATGTAACAGAAAACCTGTGAAAGGAGCTCATGATTAGGCTTAGGATAAGGAGACCTTTCAGCATTTAATATTTGGGTCTAAACACAAAAGATAAACACAATAACAGTAGAAATGTAAAAAGGGCTTGTCTACAGCTAGAAGAAAGCTCCAATTACTGTCATTAAAATAAAATACTTTTTTCTGTTGATTATGGAAGCACAACAAATGTTTTGATATATTGTTGAAATACAAAATATAAGTAAACACAGATGAATATTATTATTATTTCAACCTTGAGAGACACACAGAGAAAGTTGCAGTTAGAAAAGTATTATTGAATACAATTTATTTAAACAGGTTTCACCGTCAGATTGTTAAAATGTTTCTATCTATGGAAAACCAGCTGATTGCATCGACTCATTGGCTGTCTGCAATCCTCACAACAATCAAGCATGTAGTGACGGTGGAGAGGAAAACTCCCTTTTAATAGGAAACCTCCAGTAGAACTAGGCTCAGTGTGAGCAGTCATCTGCTAACTTGGGTTCAAGGAAATAGAAGCGGATGTGCAGGTAGTGACATAAATGAAATAAGTTCTTTAGCGCTCAGACCTCTTTGATGCTGTTAATGAACATTGGCTTGGATGAGTAACTTTGGAAAAGGATTAGTGTATTCTTCCTCACACTGGTGACGGCATAAGCCAGCGGGTGAGACTGAGAATAGTCTGATAGTGAAGGAGGCGATTGGGTGCAAGTGGGTGAAAGTTTGCATGAATGCGGGAGAGAGGCTAGTTCAGGAGCTAAATGAAGGGGATCTTGAAAGAGGATTGGCTTCGGATGAGGTGTGGCCCACAGATGATTTGCTGAAGCTGGACGAGGGACATCACACATGGTTCAGGTGAAACTGAAGTCTCAAGTCTTCCAGATTGAATTTTATTTAAGCTTCATTTCAAAACTAACACTCTTTTAGGGAGTGAGCACAGGTTCTTATGCCCTGAGATCCAACTATCAGCTGTTGCTCGCTGTTTCTTTTGCCCACACAGAACTAGGGAAGATAGCCTTTAGCTACGCAGCTCCTTTTGGATTTTTTTTTTACAAAGAAACGGGAAATTGACTGAGTTTTTATCTTTAAATGCTTTTAAGTTGAATGTGAAAAAATTGAAGCAGCCTCAATTATCTGTTATTGTTTTACTTGATATGTTTTTTTGTTTGTTCTTCATATATACCTGTCATTTCATTTATTTTAATATATCTATGTTTCTTATGTAATTTTGCTGCCTCTTGGCCAGGACTCCCTTGAAAAAGAGGTTTTTAATCTCAATGGGATTATTTCCTGGTTAAATAAAGGTTAAATAAATAAAAATCTAAATTGAGCATGATGCCTTTCTAATTGGCTTTAGGCAAATTTAAGAATTAATATAATCTGAAAATGGAATCCACCAAGATTTTGAATTGGACAAAAGGAATGACTAAAAAATATGACGTCGTTCATACAAAAAGATGACTGTATAGAGTTGTAAACAGAGTGCAATGTGAACTAAAATGGTTCAGGTGATACGCAATAAAAGTGGACTGTTTTTACATGGTTCCATAATACGGATTTCTAATATTAACCTTGGGGCCAAAATTATCAAGATTTGGGAAAGTGGCGGGAGTATTCATGAAAAAGTTACCCTTTTCACAGTAAGAAAAAAGGATTAAAAAAGGATTGCTTGTTTTTTATGTAATTTAGCCGTTTAAAAAAAAAACTGTTTCAGAACACTGAACAAATATGTTATTATATTATGTGCATTAATGTATAATGACAGGTGCAATTCTTTTTGCCTTTTTTCATTTCATACTAGACCAATAATAGTATATTTACAAGCTATTTATAGCTCCATGGCTTCTGATCTTCCCTAAATAAATTTTAATCAGATATAAAACATAACAAATCTTAGTTCTTAAATAACTTTATCAAAAAATCTAATTGCAGTGTTTTGATCATGTTTTTTATTTATCATAGGAACTATAAGAATTAGATTTATTTATATATTAATGTACATGTGGTCACTTAAGATAGGTTATTGCATAATTAACTGTTTATCCTTTATATTTTAAATTAAATTAATTGTGCAAAGAAGGCTGCATTACCATGACAATGCAGTGAGAGCTCCACTCCCACTGCGTTCTCCACTCTAGCCTGAGGAACACCCCTTCACATCGGATTGTACATGAAGGATTAAAATGCTAACCCACGGAAAATCCTGAGCCTGGTGGAGCTAAGAGCGCTACTTCAAACATAAGCACCCCACACTTCCGAAAATACTGACGTTAATCAAAAGAGAGCGTGCAAATATCATTAAAATGCAATTGCACAAAAACTCCCCCAGTATCTCTTACGTAAAGGACACGTTTAACAACTTAGGGGGGGATCTCATTTTAAGCTTGCATCGTGGCATCAGATTATATAACACGATTCAGAGTAGAAGTTGCGCTTGCTGTGCGTAACTATAACCCCTGGTGTCCGTATGCATTGCAAACCCCACCTCCAGGATGTCATCACCGCACTGCCAATGCACAGGTGCACGTCAAACGCGTTTTCTTTCTTTTGTTTTGCACAGTTTGATCATAACATCAAGGGCATGGACACATCAGGGGTGTGTTTGGGCCGCGCGTCCGTGTTTGTGTCCCCAAACAGGGCGCGCAGCATCCCTCCCAGCGATCAACAAACACGTCCCATCTGAGCGGAGAGCAAACGGCCCACATAGACACGACTCTACAAAACACAAGCACAATAATCCCTGAGTCACACTTCAACACAAACGGCGCACCTACACGAGATTTAAATCCCACTGCATCAATTTATTGACCATGCAATAACGCAAAGTCAGCGCATGGCCGTTTATAGCAGCCAGTTGGGCTGTTTGCGTGTGTGAATGTGGAATAATAGGTAGAAAGCTGTCTTTACTAGACAATCAGCTCTCCTGTAAGCTAATTAGAGGCAGTGTCCTCATCGCACCTGCTAAATAAGAGAGCTGCAGGCAGAGGAGACATAAGGAGCGCCCGCAGTCCCGGACCACAATGAATAAAGAACGGAAATGGATGAGATAAAAAAAAAAAAAAGCATGCTTATGATTCCTACCTGCACAGCCCACGAAAAGCAAGGCGAAAAACACATCCCTGGTGTGGACCATCTCAACTCCCGAGTAAACGTTAAAGCGAACGTTTAATCCCCGCTCTGTTCCCTTAGAGATGCTCTATGGATTTTTCCTTCTTTCTTTCTCTCTCTTTCTCTCTCTCTCTTTCTTTCAACAACTGTTCATCCTAATCTTTACATCTGAGTTCGCTAAGTGTCAGTGACCAGCGTCTTTTGATGACAAGCAGCGGTCAGAGATAAGCAGTGATGAGCGCCAGTGCGCAGTTCAAAGTCTGACTGACAAGTGGAGCCTTCTCACATGCGCGAATTACTCCGCGCAGGAGGAGGGGAGAATCTGCCGTTGCTAAATAGTGCGCAGGGCTCAAAGATGATGATGATGATGAGGAGGAGGAGGAGGAGGAGGATGATAGGGAATCCCCAGTCATTGCCAAGATAAGATGTTTTTCCTCTTCACTTTTGAACATTTTTGGTGAAATTAATATTTGTTAATTATGTTGTTTATTTAATCCTTCCAAACTGTGAACGTGTGATGACGAGATTTATATAGCACATATATAAGATAACCTTTAAGCAAAGTGCTAAAAAAAATAAATAAAACGTTAACAAAGAAAATAAAAAGCAGGAACATTCAGCCAGTTTGAAAATTTTTGAAAACTGACATGTAAGGCAAGGAAAGGCAAGGCAAATGTATTTGTATAGCACAATTCACTACATAGACAATGCAAAGTGCCTTACATGATTAAAATATGAAAAAAATAAAAAAGAGTCAAAACAAGTAGGAAAAAATGTTGTTGAAAATGTCTATCTAAGCAGGGTTGCATATGACATCTCCTTTGAAACATTTAAATAAATCTCTCATGTGTATATATTAGCAAAACATCCACAGAGAAAAGAGTATAGTATAGGATTCAGATACTGGAAATTATACAGAGAATAAGCACAGGGGCAGAGCTAGATGAGGGCCAGGGGTAGCCATGGCTACCCTTACCCAATCATTGGCCACCCTACCATTTTTTCCCTACAATACAGATGGTGGCAGCAATAATATTGGTAAATGGCATGTACTTATATAGCACCTTTTTTCAAGTCAGGAGACTTGACCAAAGCGCTTTACACTACATTCATTCACCCATTCACGCACACACTCATGGTGGCAAGCTACATTGTAGCCACAGCTGCCCTGGGGCTCACTGACAGAAGCGGGGCTGCTGTATACTGGCGCCACCAGGCCCTCTGACCACCATCAGTAGACAATGCAGGTGAAGTGTCTTGCCCAAGGACACAACGACAATGAAAGTCAGAGCCGGGGCTTGAACCTTCAACCCTTCGATTTCCAACATCCAACGCCACTGTCGCCCTATAACGCCACTGTTGCCCTATATTCTCAAGTGGAAAGTTCTAACTTATTTAACATTTTAATTTTCTATATGTAAACAACATTACTAACATTAAAGATAAATACAGAATTCATTCTCTTTTCAGAACTACATTTTGTCTTATATGGGGTAAAGAGAAAATTATGTCTCTACAAGTCATCTAGGAATCTTTACTGAAATCACAGATAAATAACTACCTTAATGATAATTAATCAATTTAATGTAGATATTAGTACATGTAAATATTAATGTTATGCTCAATGAATATTAATAAAAGTAGGTTAGTAATGATAATAAGATGTTCGCCCCAGAACTTAAAACTGAAAGAATTTTGTCCACTACACCTTTTATTTAGACACCATGGGTGTTTAAATATATGCGTTTATTTGTTAGCAAATGCTCTAGGAAAGAATAGTTTGTCTTTATTTAGAAAATATGGATGTTGTGATTGTTCATTTTCCTTTTGGAACAGTGCAGATTGACCCTGAGGTTCTGGTACTTTTCCCCTTTCGGCCACCCCTCAGTGTACATTGTTATTGCCTGGTCACCCTTATTTAAAATTTTCTGGCTACGCCCCTGACTAAGCACGTACCAGGTGGTCAAATTGGATAAGCTGGATTACCTAACTCTATGGCTTTTTTTTTTTTGTCCACCAGTTTTTCTCTGCACGGTCTTCATTCTCTGACTCTAATCTTTCCACTTATACTGAAGCACTTTCTTCTTCCTCGCACAATTTGTTAGCCGTTTCCCTTCAGTATCTTTACCTGTGACCCTCCTGGTCTCTTCACCCTAAAAAGAAAGTACAGCTCCAACTTATAGGATTTGCTTCAATCGCTAACAAGTAATTGAATCAACTTGTTCCATAAAGTTCGTAAGTTAGGAATCTCAGATGAATTAAACATTTTGATTAATTAATTAATTGATAACTATTGAAGCAAATCATTTACGTTGGAGTTTAATTTTCTTTTCTGAGAGTTGGTCATTATGTCGTTATGTCTTACAGTCTTTTCTTACTTGTCATCACTAGTTTTTTGCCTAAGAAAAATGTCTCCACTTTTAAATTTCATTTTTATTGTGATCTGATTTGAACTCTACAATAAACAATAAATAGATAGAAAAATTAGAAATTTGCACTGTTATTACTGCAGTCTGTGAAACCAGAAATTATTGATCACCATCGAAAAGGTCAAAAAAGCCGTTTTATTTAGAAACATTTTATACTACATATTTTATATAACTTAAAATATATATTTATAGTATATAATGAATATATATTTGGGACATTAATATATAAATTATATTAAGGCCTAAATTAGGCTGTAAAAAGATTTTGGACAAACAATGGATTACTTTTTGTAAAAAGAAATACTTTAAAGCAAAGACTGATCAGTAGTTTAAATTGCTTTAAGTTTCAAGTAATTTGTCTCCAATTGTTTTGATATTTTAGGGAAATTGAATACAACAGAACTTATTTGAATTTAAAGTATACTTTATAGCATTGTAGCATGAGTAGGAAAAACTACATATACTTAATGGAGAAACATCTTTCTAAATAGCTCAAGTTATTCACGACAGGCAGAGTAGCCAGAAAATTTACTTCAGTAGTCTAAAAGTAAGAAGTTTTGGACTTTACAACTACTACTAAAAGAACATTTCAATATGTTCTGCATACAGATGTTGCTATTTATTACCCACGTCAGATTCTATACACAGTACTTTAGATTATTTGGAAAAACGTCAATTTAGTTTGAGATTTCTTAGAAAAATCATATTCTGTACTTTTTAATCTAAACAGAAATGTAAACATGTTTATAATTCAGTAGATTTCACAGTGACTGATCAAAGCACACTTAGCCAAACCAAACACATTTTTTATGTCATTTAGTTTTACAAAACTACTATAACTCACATACTTTCCAGATCCCTCCCCTCCTGCCAATGACCAAAGGATGCTGCATGCGGCATACTTTTTCAGGGTGTAAACTGAGTGAAGGAACAGAGAGCAGAGTGTCGACACAGCAGGACCAAATCACACAGTAGTATTTGGACACCCTCAGATTGCGATTTTTTCTTTTATTTGCACCGCTGGCGTGCACTAAAAGACCCAATGGCTAAAATGTGATAAACCCAAACCAATCTGTGGGATGGCAGAGAATGCATTGTGGTCAAAACCTCGCTGCCTTGCCTCAGCTGAGCGTTGCACAGAAATATTCTCCAAATGTAGCACCACATAGAGTGTGGCCCCACATACCTGCAAGGAATCTAGTCCCTTTTTAAGAAAACCTTTAGCTAACACTGAACTTGAAGATGAAAGAAAAAGGAAGTTAACTCTGTTTGGTTTAAAAGGGTAGAGATTTGAATGACGTTTTCACCTCACAGTAAAAAGATGACTCAGCTGAGTGACTCATTTAAATCTGCCCCCCCATGCAACTAGAACATACAGTACTGTATTATTTAGTGCATGCTCAAGTTGAACTGCTGAAGAAAGGTATTTCTCTTTATTTTTCTTTTCATTTTGAAATGTTCTGTAGATTTATTTTCAAACTGCTTCTTTTGGAGGGTATAGAGGATGCTTATTATAGTTAGTATGATGCATAAATCCACATCGTGTTGAATAATTCAGAGCCATGGGATCTCTAAATTCTGTATGAAAGTCCAGCTGGATGTGTCACTTGCTGTTTGTTCACGGAAAAATGAAGAGGAAAACTGCCTCACTCTCTGAGCCTAAAATGTGTCAGATAAAAAAAAAAAAATGTTAACATCAGACACAGATAACCAGTGTAAACAACAACTGCACTTGATTTTACTTCAATCCAAGTTGTTTATATAATGCCAATTCACATCACATGCCCACTCAGGGCACCTTACAGGGTCATTTCAATCACACTCTAAAGAGAGAATGCAGCTCCGACCTAAATGGATGCTTTAGTTGATGATTGATACATTATTAAGTTTACTTAAAATTCTTTATTTACTATAGTTTAATTTCAAAGCTTATAAACCAAATAAATTAATCTGGGTAAGCTCAATCCAACCCTCTGTTACCAATTGAAACAGTTGGAGTTGAATTATGGGGTACATCGTAAATACAGATCTGTAAAACATTTTCTATCCAAGGAAACCCAGTAGACTGCATAGAATCTTTGGATATGCAGAGTTAACTTATTTGAAGAAAACCCCTTCATTTAATCATAGAAAAGAATGCCTCTCCTGTTAAATTGTAGTAATTAAATATTATGAACGCCATTTTTCCAGATAGCTTACACTAAATATAGCCTGACTTATAGCAGACCATTAACAACAACAAACAAACAACAACAAAAAACCTGAACTAAAACAAATTCCATTACATTCTTACTTACAATTCGTCAAAAACATTAATGCTTGGTCAGCATCCATCAGACACCAGTGCTGGGATTAACAACACTACCCGTAGTTGTTACCTGTTTTACTAACTCTTAATTTTTTAATTGAAAAAAGAAAAAAAATTACTTTTAACATATCAGTTATGCTGTTACTTGTAATCTAACACAGATGCTGTTGGTAGCTATATCGTAAGATGTTTACTAGTGTTTGTTCAGGTTTAGGAGTCTGGGTTAGAAATAGATTATTATAAGTTCTACAGTTTGCAGTTCATGTAACATTTTTGCAAATTCTTGCCACAACTTCACGTGCATTCTGCACATTAATAAATTAGAGGTCTACTCATTATTTAATGTGCAAGGGCCTTGACCAAGCACAAATTTCTGACACACTGGGAGTTAGAGTGCCCCCAAATTCTATATAAATGTGATTCAAATTCTCTTGAAATGTAAGTCATATTAAATTCAAAATCATTTAAAATTCAATTGAAATTCAAGAATACTTTATTAATTACAAAGGGAAATTAAACAATGTTGCA